CTCCTGAGGCTTCGCTGCAGTCCTGGGGGTGCCCCTCCGCGGGCCCCTTGGTTAGGGGCCCGGAGGCCCACCCAGCCAGACTCCCCGGGACACGGCCCCCTCCTCCCCGCAAGCAGCGCCTTTCCCACTCAATTACTCTCTTCGCCCGCCGCTTGTCTGCCGTGTTTACAGCCTGGCCTCTGGCTCCCACTGCACCCTTTGCACAGAAAATAACATAAAAGCAAAAGCATTTAAGAGACTGTCGCCAGGTTTGAAAAGCGTGGTAGGAAACGGCTTCTCCATGGAGTTGCGCCTTTGTGTGTCTGTGGAGACAGGGGAGCTGCAGATGCGATGGCTCGGTTTCCCCAAGGTTCCCTGGGTTAAGTCCCCCACTCCCAGTCCAGAGGAAGTGAGGCGGGGCCAGCCAGTGCTGGCTTCTGGTCTGTGGATTGGAGATAAGGCAGGGAGCCCCCAGGCGTCGCTGGGAGGAGTCATGAGGAAGGTGGGGGCCCCCCAGCCCAGCCGGGCACGTGGCTGCGGCTCAATAAACATCAGGAGTCAGATCGTCAGTCCCAAGTGTGAAGTTCCAGCTTTACCATTAAGGAGCCTAAGCCAGTGTATGCAAAGCTGCTGTTAAATAATCATTGCTACCAACTGGGGACGTTTTCCTGGGCATTTCATCCATATTATCTCATAAGATACTGGATGAGAAAATAAAGACTCAGAGAGGTTAGGCAACTTTCTCCAGGTCACACAGCTTCAAGGGACAGAGCTGAGACAGGATCCAGGGCCTTCGGATCCAAAAGCCAGTTTCCTTAACTGCTCCAGGCTCCAGAAAAGGGTTTCCCAGGTGGGGACACGGGGTGCCATGAGCCCCCCTGAATGGGCATGGAAAATGCAGTGCGTTACATTTTTCTGGAGAAGGTTCCGAGGCTTTTCATCCGGGGTATGATGTATATTTTTGGTGATATTCATGAAATGTCTCAAGAAACAGTTACTGCTTTTGATAATATCAAAGTTCGGCTTTGGTGTCCTTCTGAAAGTTTCCACGTGTGCCTCCAACATTCCTAGCGTTCTCCCTGGCAGAGGCCCCTGTTTGGGGCGGTTGGTTTCATTCTGAAATCTGATCTCACAGGGACAAGAAGGTGGCCACGGCTGACCCTCCAGCCTGGCAGCTGTCCGGCGGGGGTGGGGTGGAGAGTGAACCCGCTTCCGATCCCGGGCTGCCTCCGGGATCCTCCCCGTGCCCGGCAGCACCTGTAGCAGGAGCTGCGCCCCGCGCTCCCAAAGGGTCGAGCGGAATCCTGAGATCTTGGGGCAGCGGCAGGGACAGGGAGGAGGAAGAGGAGAGCCCTGTTGGCGATGGCTGGGGGTTTATTTATTGTACTCGCTGCTGATGAAGCCCGCTCGGCAGCCGGCGTGCGCTGTAAATACACAGGCTGATTCATTAGTTTCTGACCATCTGCTTCCCGGAGTGGGGATGGGGGCAGGGGGCCAGGGGGCCCTGCAGGTGAGGCAGCCAGGCTGGCAGCCAGGCTGGAGCCCCTGTTCCCTGGCAGAATTGGCTGTGTCTGTCTGCTTGGTGACAGACAGGCCAGCGAGGCTGGGGTCTTTGAGGGATCGGATGTCCCCCAGTGGGGACCACCCGGAGGCAGGACAGGGTGAGGGAAGGTAAGGCAAGGGGACAAAGAAAGACTAGGGGAGAAGGATGAGGTGTGGGTGGCTCACAGCAGTCAGGGGTTGGCAGGAATAATATCAACAGTTGATGTGAGATATGTTAATATTGATCTATTTGTTACATTAATAACTAACATAATAACAATAATAACTGTAATTCAGTGAGCAGTCTCTGGGGTCCAGGCCATGTATGGAGCCTTCACTACCCTGACCCAGATGGACACACTCACAGCCCCCTGATGGATGACAAGGGAATTGGCTTTAAAGGCTGAGTCAAGCAAGGAGGGCTTCCTGGAGGAGGGCTCAGGGAGCCAGAAGGAGGGAGCGTGGCTGAGGGAGCACAGGCTCAGAGGCGAGAGGGGACGAGGCGGCCAGGGAAGAAGGTACAGGCTTCAGTGCTGTGCTGACAAGAGCTTCCTGGGGGGACAAGGAAACCGGACAGCACCTGGTGACGACATGCCGAGAAGCTGGGCTCACGGAGGAGGGCCCTGGACGGAGAGCACTTCTTGGGAGATTCCCAGAAACTCACAGTTCAGTGCCCCGCTCAGCCCTGCCTCCCACCCCCGCCTCTTCAGCTCGCCTGGGGTAGGGCACCTCTTCGTTTGCTAGGGGCTCAGTTAACCAACAGACTTATTTTCTCAGGTTCTGGAAGCTTCAAGTCCAAGATCAAGGTTTGATCGACCCTTGAAGACCAGAGCAGGGTTGGCTTCTTCTGAGGGCTCCCCTCTTGGCTCTCTGATGACCAGGGAGCACGCTCCTGCGCCTTTTTGTGTGGCCTTTGCACACATGCGCCCCCGGTGTCTCTCTGTGCGTCCAAATTTCTCCTTCCTACGAGGACGCCGGTCAGATTGGCTCAGGGCCCGCGCTAAGGACCTCCTTTTAACTTGACCACCCCTTTAAAGGCCCCATCTCCAAATGCAGTCACATGGCGAGGGGCGGAGGTTAGGGCTTCAGCATGGGAATGGCGGGGCCCCAAGTTAGCCTCTAGCGAGGCGCCGGGTGCCGTAGAAGGGCGCACCTGGGGCTGAGGGGAGAAGACGGTTGCTGGCTGTGGGGAAGGGCAGGTGCTGACCTGGTTGGGAACCGTGTCCTTCTGCCCCCGATGTGCAGGCGTGAACTCCAGGACAGCCGCTCGCGGCTCCGGGCCCTGAGTGACGCACCCGGAGCCCATTCTGCCCCTGGGCTCAGAGCGCCCCTCCCCGCTGTGGAGGGGACCTCTACAGGTGACTGGGGAGGAGGCCGTCTCTCACAGGCAGGTGCTCTGAGCTCCCCTGGCCCCAGCAGGAAGCCTCGACTCTGCGGGCCACTGAGCCGTCCCTATGGGGCCTCTCAGCCGCCCCCCACACTCAGGGTGACAGCCCAGGGCCCCCAGCTGGAGCACAAGGCAGCTCACCACCCCCCCCAGCAGCCAGACCAGGCCCCCCTGCCTGCCCTGTTGCATGTGAGGTCGCCAGTGTTTGGGGACACCGTTGAGGCCTTCTGGGTCAGAAAACAGCACGCGCCTCAGTTTCCCCAGGTATTCAATGAAGGGTTGGACTCAGGAGTGAGCCCCTTTGACCCCGAGCTCTCTGTGGGTCCCGGGAATCACAGGGCTTGGCAGGCGGAGCAGGCGGTGGCGACATGGGGCAGGGTTGGGGGGAGACCAAGGTCAGAGTTATTTCTGTCAAGGAGGCCTTTGTGGAGCCCGCCTCAGTCAACCCCAGGGCCAGCCTGCCCACCGAGGACCCTGGGCGGCCTGAGCATGCGTCTGCCTCTGCAGGATCAGAGGCCGCGTCCTGAGACCACTGCGTGGCCACAGAGGGGTGTGTGCGGCCCAGCCCCTCGGGGGGGCCGCGCCTCACTGCCCCCGGGAGCTGAGTGGCTCATTTTACAGTGAGCAGTTCTGACTCCCATCCCAGCCACTTGTCACCAGGAAGCAAAAGGGAGACCTGAAATATTCATCAAAAAAGCCGCGAGTGGTCTGGGTGCTGTGAGGTTCTTAGTGACAGGTTTTATTTTTTAATTAATAGGCTTTTGCTTTTAGAGCAGTTTTCGTTGCACAGAAAGTTGAGCAGACAGCCCATAGAGCTCCTAACACGCTGTTTCCCATACGCAGCCTCCCCTCCTATTAACATCTGCCGTTAGTTGGTACATTTGCTTCAACTGATGGGCCAACACGGATACGTTAACATGGACTAAAGTCCGCAGTTCACAGCAGGGTTTACTCTTGGGGTGCAGGTCTGCGGGTTTGGACAAATGCCTGATGTCACGTACCCACTGCAACAAGTGTCAGGCAGAATCGTTCGCTGCCCTAAAGCGCTCCTGTGCTCCACCTGTTAGTGACATTTTCGGGCCACTGTGTGAGTTCACACGGTGGACGGATTCGGGGAATGGATGTGAACTGCCGCGGAGGGAGGAAATGTGGACCCCCTGCTGAGCCCCCGAGGTGGGGAGGGAGGACAGACAGCGAGTGGGCCTGCCCTGCATTGCTCGCCAGCGCCCCCCACTGGGCCTCCCAGGCCAAGGACCTGGGCATGACTGGCCCCAAGGACGCTGCCCCCCCCCGCCCCCCCCGCTCCAGAGGAAGCTGTCAGTGTCCTATCAGTGTGCCCAGGTCATGCAGGAGGCAGACACGCGTGCTGAGCCAGAGACGGGTGACTGTCAGGCTCTGCCCCAACAGGCCAGGGAGAGGCCCCCGCTCTTCCCAGCGCGGCCCCAGCGCCGGGCCCCCACCTCCTGGAGGCCGGGCTTCTCCGCTGGATGCCAAGAGGGTGCTCCGGCTCTGAGTGTGGAGGCGAGCGAGTGAATCGGAGAGCGAGCAGCAAGAGTGCGCGCCGCCTCCCAGTGCCCATTCAACAGACATTTGCAGTGAGCGCGGGGGCTGTTTAAAGAGTCAGGAACGCGGGGAGGAATCTTCGGGCCGACGGAGGGTGGAAGGGCACGCCGGGGGGAGGGAACGCCGACTGCAAAGGCTCAGCGGCCCGGACGGGTGTGCTCAGGTGCTTCCCAGGAGGTCAGGACCAGTGGCTCCAGGTGTCAGGGTCACTGTATTGAAGAGCTAGACCTTCATCCTCCAGGCAGCGGGGCGCCAGGGGGACCTCGGAGCAGGGAACGAACACCCACGTCCCCTGACTGTCTATACTTAGAGCAGGGACAACGCATGATTTCCTGGGCAGCCACACTGTGGCCTGCCTTTATGAGTTTGGGGGAAATGGGTACAAATTACCTATCCAGGAGACGTGTCCTGGCGCCTGGATGTGGGACAAAACAGGCTCCGAGACCTCAGGCCGGGCCTGCGGCGGGGTTGGGGCGGGTGGCGCAGAGCAGCCCGCGGCCCAGCCTTGCCCCCTCCCCTCCCCCTGCAGGAGAACCCCTACCTGTGCAGCAACGAGTGCGACGCCTCCAACCCGGACCTGGCCCACCCGCCCTGGCTCATGTTCGACAGGGAGGACGAGGGGCTGGCCACGTACTGGCAGAGCGTCACCTGGAGCCGCTACCCGAGCCCGCTGGAAGCCAACATCACCCTGTCGTGGAACAAGAGCGTGGAGCTGACAGACGACGTGGTGGTGACCTTCGAGTACGGCCGGCCCACCGTCATGGTGCTCGAGAAGTCCCTGGACAACGGGCGCACGTGGCAGCCCTACCAGTTCTACGCGGAGGACTGCGTGGAGGCCTTCGGCATGCCCGCCCGCCGCGCCCGCGACCTGCCGGCCTCCGGCGCCCACCGCGTGCTGTGCACCGAGGAGTACTCGCGCTGGGCGGGCTCCAAGAAGGAGAAGCACGTGCGCTTCGAGGTGCGGGACCGCTTCGCCATCTTTGCCGGCCCCGACCTGCGCAACATGGACAACCTGTACACGCGGCTGGAGAGCGCCAAGGGCCTCAAGGACTTTTTCACCCTCACCGACCTGCGCATGCGGCTGCTGCGCCCGGCGCTGGGGGGCACCTACGTGCAGCGGGAGAACCTCTACAAGTACTTCTACGCCATCTCCAACATCGAGGTCATCGGCAGGTAAGGCCTCCTGGGGGCGCCGGGGTGTCACCTGGGTCCTGGGGGGCACGAGGATGTCACCTGGGTCCTGGGGGTCTCCTGGTGTCACCTGGGTTTCTCCAGGGAGGGAGGTGGATGACAGGAGATAAACGTCCGTGGAGCCCGGGCTGCTGTGGCCCACGGACCCGCGGGTCTGCGGAGACTGAGTGGCGCCGGGCAGTGTGGGCAGCACTTGGGCTAAAACCTCGTGCTCAGGAGATGCTCTGCTGCTGTCCCCCGATGCAATGACTGGGCGCTCCTGTCAGGGGTCCCCAAGGCCACCCTCCGGCTCTATGATTTGCTAGAAGGAGCCACAAAACCTAGTGTAGCTGTTATAGTCACAATTAGCTTGTGACAAAGAAAAGATGCATATGAAAGCCAGAAACAGAACCAGGTGCACAGGGCCGGCTCCAGGGACGCCGTGCAAGGTCCCCACAGCGCAGTCGGCGCTCGGCTCACCCAGCTACGATGTGTGAGGAGGCGTGTGGACTGGTGCCCCCGCGGGAGCCCGCCGTGCCTGGCGACCAGGGTTTTCACTGGACTTGATGGTGTAGGCACGGCCCTCTCCCCTGCCTCACATGGGTCACCGGGCCCCTGACCCAGAGGTCAGGCTGGTACTGCACAGCGCGAGGCCCCACCAGAAGTCACAGCATTAGCATGAATTGTCCGGGCGGCCCAAGGCCCCCAGTAAACAAACACGCTCTTCAGGCATGGCCCTCCCATGGCTCAGAGGCTCCCTTCGGGGCCAAACAGTTCTTTAAAAAGGAACTTGTGGACAAGCGGGGCTGGCTGAGCCAGCCCTTCCCTCACAGCTCCTGGAGAAGACAGAGCTCTGAGGACACTTTGCAGGTTGGTGGAAGCAGCCTTTGATTCCCAGGAACTGCTTAGATGTCGTGGTTCCAGGTCGTGTGCTGGCCTGTCAGGGCCAGGACTTCGCCCCGAGCCCCCTCGTCTGCTCTTGCGGGGGCGGGGGGCTTGGAGGCCCTGCTACCGGGCCCCGAGGGGCAGTGGCGTGCAAAGCCAGGCCCCTCTAAGTGCACCTCCTGGACCGGCAGCATCCGCTTCCCTGGGAAACTTGCTAGAGGTGCAAATGCTCAGGCCCCACGCCAGACCCGCTGCATCATGGACGCCGGTGTGGGCCCGGCAGCCCGTGCGCTCGCGAGCGCCCCAGTGGCTCTGGTGGCCCCCAAGTCTGAGAAGCCCTGCCGCCACGGCTTGGGCCAGGCAGCCTGGGTCGGATCCGTGACTCTGCTCCTCACTGGCTGGGAGGGCAGGGACCGTTTGGTGCCTTGGTTTCCCCTCCCGTAGAACATGCCTAACGGTCCTGCTTTAATCATTGGGTCGTGCTGAGAGTTAAACCAGTTAAAGTGGATGAAATGTTCTGAACAATTATGTGTCTGGCACATAGCACGTGATAAGTGTTTTTAAAATTTTATTTGTTGGATAAATTAAAGAGAGCTCAAAATAATGGTGGCAGAGAGCTGGGGCAGGCGGAGAAGGCCCGAGCTGAGACCCGGCGATCAGGCAGGGGCGCAGCGCGGGTCAGCACAGGCAGGGCGGCGTCCTGGGGCGGGCTCGGGCGGCTGCTGGTGTCTGAGCGCTGAGGAGTGGGCGGGCCGGCAGCTCGCCGTGTGGTGTGCTCCGTATGATCCCGTTTTCGTAACGTGCGTGATGTGCCTGTGCGCGTCCTTCGTATGTCTTGAGGAGACATGGGAAAACAGTCTGTTCAGGCCCAGGAAGGCCTGGGGAGACAGGGAAAGGTTGGACGCTCGTGCACGGAGCGATCGCTGCAGTTACCCCTGCGGACTGGGGTGGGGCAGGGGCTGCATGGGGCTCTCGTTTTCCGCTGTGTTTGCGTTTTATTTTTCTTTGATTCTGCATGTGGGTTCCAAGTGGGCCAAGGCAAGGGCAAGCAACACACAAGGCGGCGTCACGTTCACAGCCGGCAGGTGAGCGGGAGACAGGTGCGCATGCAGGGGCCTGTGGTTCTGACACCTTGACATCTGATCCTCCTCCACTTGGGGTGGGGCATTTTAAAGCAAGAATGTTCTGGAAACCTGATACATGGCCACTGCTGTGGGCAGCGGGGTCAAGGATCCAGCTCCCGTGCCCGCTTCTAGAGGGCGTTTCCAGGGTTCGGGTGTTCGGTCACCGCGGCGACCTCTGCCTGCCCTCAGGGGCAGTTGGTGGTGTTGGTGTAAGACCCTCCCTCTGCCCCGTGGTCCAGCCAGGCTGAGGGGGTCGCCTCGCCTGCTGGGGCTTCGGCCCCGTGCTTGTGGGGAAGAGTCGTTGGGGCAAGAGTCTGATCTAGCAGCACCTGCCACTTCATTAGGTGGCCCAGGCAGGGTCCTGAGGTCGGGGCAGGCTGCAGGGTCCAGGCTGGACGGTGAGGGGCCCGCGCCAGAGTGCCCCTTAAACGTCCCGCGGTGAAGGCTGTCTCACGGGGCTACTTGCTGACGTGGGAGAGCGCACACCCAGGAAGGGCAGGAGACCCAAGAATGAGCCCCAGTTCTTCAGTCCCATGCAAGTTACGAGCACCTTCTGGTGCCCGGGGACCTGGGGGCCGTGAGCTGGGTTCCAGCCTGGCTGCTCCATGTGTCTCTCTGTGCCTCGGTTTCCCACCTGTAACGTGAGGATCAGGGCTGCCGGGAGCCCGCGTCTCCCTGGCGAGGCGGCAGGGCGGTTCCAGCCCCACAGCTCCCAGGTCGCCTTGGCACCCAGCCTCTGCGGGTGGCGGGCAGCAGCCCTAGAGGTGGCAAAAGTACGGCGATCAATTCACAGAGTAAGTGCTCCTCAGGCGGCGGCTGGAGGCGAGCACAGCTTGGCTTATCGATTAATTAGGCCTGGGTAGGTAGTTCGGTGAAGGACGGCTTCTGCTTTCCTTTTAAATTCCTGGTGGGAGAGCCCAGCTGAGCCAGGGAGCCGGGCTGGCCCAGAGGGACAGGCCAGGGTGGAGGTGGGGCCCGTCCGGAGTGGGCACCTGAGGACCCCTAGTGGCTCTCAGGTTCTGAGCCCCTTCAGAATTTCGTGACCTGGAGATACAGGTGCCCTCCCGCTGCGGCCAGCTCACTGCAGCAGCTGATGTTCATTGAGTGTTCGCTACAGGACTACTTCCTATTGAGCAGTTTTAATCAATAGCCAGTTGCTTCTCCCCATGGCTCTTGGATCCCTGAGCCCCCGTGAGCAGAGGCAGCGGCACTGAGCAAGCCGGACCTGCTCTCCGCCCCGTGTGGCTTTTCCCGCGGGGCGGCGCTTCCCTCTGACCCGTGTTCTCAGATGCGGAGGCCAAGGTGAGGGAACATGGGGGAGCACACAGCCAAACCCCAGCCAGCCAAGATCCCACCCAAGCAGGTCCATGCGCCCGTCCGTCTCCGTGTGGCCCACGTCACTCGCCTGCCTCCCGGGTGCCAAGGTCTTTGGCGCCACAGCTGTTCTCAGCCCTGTCACTAGTGTCAGCTATTTCCAGCCTCAAGGGGGACGCAGCTGGGAGGGGGAGGCAGTAGACAGAGGGCAGAGGCACCACGCCCACGGGGAAGGGGGCAGAGCAGTGGGAGAAGCCCAGGTCCCGGGGAATGAGGAGCGAGCACCAGTCACGGGGGAGAGGAGGGGCCGAGGAGCTGGGGTGGGGCCGCGGACAGCCTCCGGCCCCTCGAGGCCACAGCCCCCACCGGCTTCACCTGACCGAGCCTATGAGCAAAGTATGACCTCAGCAGCTTGTGGCGACGTGACATGTGAGAAGAGCGCGTCCAGCGTCCCGTTCCTCTGGCGAGAGGTCCGGGGAGGCGAGGGACAGTGGCGTGGGGCCAGGGCTGGCCAGGACGGAGGGCGTGACCACACCGACCCCCAGCTGCCGCCGCTGAAAAGGAGCGGGGAGCATGCTTTTTTGGATCAGTGGGTGTTACACACCGAAACGTCTGAAGGGGCCTGGAAGACCACGTATGTGGCTAACGTGGACCAGTAGGGGCAATAGGGAAGGGTGTGATCTGCGGAGAAGCGGAGCGAGCGGGCACCCCACAGGACAACGGACCGGTGTTGCCAGATCTTTTGACACTGCAAGAGAAGGCGTACAGCAGACATGTGTGTGAAATGTACTATGACATTTTTGGAAAACTCTGGGTGGGTCATAGGAAACACACCTGCAGTTCACGAGCTGCCAGCAGGCCCCTCCGCTCGGACATTTCCACATCTGCTCACGGCGGTGAAAATGTAGCCAGCAGGCGTCTAGCACGCCTGCATGCACTGGCAGGGCAGGCGCCCTGGGATCCGGGGCCTGCGCCGCGCAGCCCTGCCAAGTCCGCCAACGCTGGGCCTGGGACGGAGAGGAGGGGGGTTGGTCACCCTATCCTCACCCCCCAGGCCCTGCCTGGGGGCAAAGTCTTCTGCCCTGAAAATTCTCAGAGGTTCCAGGGAGACAGTCCAGCGGGGCCTTGGCCCGCCAGGGACTGGAGAGAAAGAGCGAGCTCCTCGTTCCTGGAGGCATGCAAGCCGAGCGGGGTGGTGTTTGTGGGCCACGTGAGGGAGGCAGGACCTGTGCCCTGCTCTGTGCAACAGGAACAGACGTCGGTGAAGTAAACAGGAAGTACAGACGCTGTTTAACATGCCGTGGGTGGCGGGTGCCAGGCATTGCCTCCTCCGCCCTTTCCGCCCGGGAGGAGGCTGACGCCCGTGGAGAGATGGCGGAGCTGGGTCCCGGAGGCCGCATGGGCACATCTGACCCTGGGGCTGGTGAGCCCGCCGGCTCCCCCAGGTCCCGTTGGGGTCCCCGGGCCGCTGACAGGCCTGGTTCTCTCCCCCCTTGAGCCCTCCCCTGTTCTTGCCGCCCTGCCTTTTTCCCTACACATCCTGTTCCTATCGATCACCCGGTAACTGGAGATGGACGGAACTTAGCCGAGAATAGAAACCGCAGCGGGAAGGAGACCTGGCTCTGGGCTGTGTGCGTGGGGAGGGCGGGGGTGGTGGTCAGAGCCCCTTCACTCGCGGTG